AAATCAAAAGGATGCAAACTAGATGAGTGAGTACTAGTTAGGGAAAGTCGATGACTTTTCCCTAATTGACAAGATTCACAAATTGAAGATAATTTATTTGAAGAAATAGGTAAATTAAATCTAGAAACTAATCGACGCAAAACAGACTCATGTGGATGTCCAAAACGGTGATGCCAAGTTTGGAGAGACGTCTTTTCACCGAGGTAAATGCGAGGAGAGGGAGATGTAGTATGGGGTGGTTGAAGGTGATACAGTCCATTTTCAACGCGTCCGGTGAGTAACGTCCGTCCTTGGAGATCCTTCACAAAGCAACAGGTAGGAAAAAATATCATATAAGCATTATTATCACGGGTGAGTTGAGAAACACTGAGTAAGTTCTTTTTGATGCCCGGGACAAATAAAATATTATTAAGATGAACAGGAGCATGTGATGCTTGTAAAGTAGAATGACCTAAACTAGTTATGGGCAGAGTCATACCATTACCAACTTGTAACCCTTCATTACCGGTGTAATTGGAATGAACAGAGAGATTACCAAAATCAGCTGTGACATGATTTGTTGCGCCAGAATCAAAACACCACGGGTCAAGTAGAGTTGAAGGAGGATTCTGAACCTGATAAGCTTGCTGGCCTGGCGGTAAAGGAATAGGATTGAGAGCTGGAGGAGCTTGAGTGTTATAGACAGAACCCGGCATGGAAGCTTGAGATTGCGGACCACGACGCGGCTGTCCACGGCGGGGCTGCTGCTGTCCACGACGAGAAGGTTGTCGTGGCTTGGTCTCAGGATAGGTGTCAAAATTTGCCCTGTGCCAGCAATTGACGGCTTCATGACCTGGTTTTTGACAGATTTGGCAAATTGGGCGTGAACTGGATACAAAGTCACCCCTACTGTCTGGCAAACCCGACCGGGTTCCCCCTGCACCCGACCGGGTAGCTGCCAATGCAGTGGCAGTTAGGGAGCTAGTTCTCTCTGAATTCAGGCGGGCTTCCTCACGCAGCAGTAGACCAAGTAGATCATGAGAACTAATGAGTTCCGAATGCAAATTGAAGGCAGAACGAAAGGCCGAATATGATGCATCAAGGCCATTAAGAATACTTTCAACAAACTCCTCATCAGGAACAATATAATCACATTCAGCTAATGCATCAGAAAAGGACCGTTTCTTTTCAACATAATCCAAGATGGATAAATCACCTTTTGGAAATTGTTGGAGTTGTGTTTTGAGATGCATGAGTTGAGCGCGATTTTGAGAATAAAACATGCGTGATAAAATATCCCACGCTTCATGGGTGGATGTAGCGCGTGCAACATGAACAAGTAATGGTGTAGTTAACATGGAACGGATCCAAAGAAGAATTAACCTGTCCTTCTTTCGCCATTCGAGATACACTGGATTTGCAACCGGCGTTGAACTAGTGGAATCGGTAGGCTTGACCAATGGATTAGGCATGGCTTTAGAGGAGAGGAAATCATCAAGCTCGAAAGCTTCAAGAGCCGAGCGAACTGTGTGACGCCATAGCATGTAATTCGAACGATCCAAGAGAATATTAAGTTTTGGTAGATTGATAGAGATAGAGGTTGAACCGGAAGCCATGTTGAGCGGGGTGCCAGAAGTGTCGTCAGAGTCCCCGTTGGCTGTCATGGGTGCGGTCGAGGAGGCGGCCGCAGATCACCCCTGGGAAGCTGATACCATGTTAAAGAACAAAGTGTTTAGGGTTTTCAAGTGTTGTATTATTCCATGATTAGAGGAGTATTTAAATACAAAGAGGTTGGGCTTATTGGTGTTTACAAGGAGTCTAAATTATACCCAATAAGCCAAGAGAATATTACAAATAAATACGAAAATACTTTCCCTTAATACACACTTTCTCTACACACACATACACACTATAAATACCCCAAAAAATAATTTACCCCCTTTCCCTCACCTCATACCATTTCACACGTGCCACACTTCAAAAAATACCCGCTCTCACTTTTTCGTGGATCCCCACCTTCTCCCTTCCTTCGAACTGCCCAACCTTCCCCCCTTCTACCTCCGATCAATTTTGCTTCGTTCTTGCGAGTAGTCCCCGTCGGTGGTCGTTGCTGGCCGTCGCTGGAAGGTCTTCGTCTCCGCCAACCCCCGACGAAGTCAACTCTCGTCCCCGACAACCCCACTCGTCCAAGACTAGCCTCGTCCCCTGCAACCCCCGTCAAAGGCAACCATAGTCCCTGCGCATACCAAGGTCCGAATCCTCCTCCGAGTCTCAGTTGAAAATGCCGCGAACCCCGGTTTCAACTATGGCCGAAAGGTATGTATCCTCTATTTTGGAACTTATACACTTTTAGGCTAGTTGGTGATGTATATTTGGAGGGTGAAGCAAAATAATTTTGTTTATGAAGTTTTGGAACTCATCTATTGCTTGGATTTTGAACATTATGTATTGTCTGTGTAAGGTTGATTTTATGCCTGTTGAGGGACATATATATTGTCTGTGTGAAGATTTTGTGTGGTTATTTGTCTGTGTGAAGTTATATGTAAAAAGATGTGCCTCCATTGTCTGTGAAGAGTTATATGATTGTCTGTATGACTCCACATATGTCCGTGTGTGTTATATGATTGTCTGTGTGTCTGTATATAACTGAATGCTTGTCTGTGTGATTTAACATATGTCTGTGTGCTTATGGTTTATTTTCTTACACTCATAGGGCACTTGAACTCCACATTCCATTGAGCAAGCATTTCCCTACCCAGTACTCTATGTGCTCGAACGTCAAACATGTTTCCAAGTACGTTAAGGACATGTTGTCCAAACAACAAATGGCAATTTTTCGGAAGACACCATGGGGTCACTTTGTAGACATACCTGATATTCATTTCTGTGCCCAAATCGTGCACATGTTGTTGTTACGTATGGTCAAGCAACAATCCGAAGATGAGCTCTGGTTCAACGTTGTGGGTAAAATAGAATAATTCACATACAATGATTTCTGCCGCATCACGGGCTTACCTCCCACAGCCCCCAGGCCTGTCGTGGCCGAAGATACTGAAAAAGATGATGAAGACGCTGAAGAAGAGGAAGAACCTAGGGAGATTGCTAAGACGTACTTTGGTGGATCACTGGATATCACTTTCCAGATGATGAAGGACAAGGTTGATGAAGTACGGGGAGGTAAAAAAAAAGGAAAGGTGACCTACCTGTGAAGCTTGCATCCCTCTTCCTAGTCGAGAATGTACTGCTGGGAAAAGATAGGACAACTCGGATCAGCCGGAGACCTATTCAGCTTGTTAATGACTTTGAAGAGTTCAAGGAGCCCTGGTCAAGAGATGTTTATGATTTGCTTGTCACACATGTCAAGCGTCTTCTTGTTGGGCATCCAACGAAGTTTGTTGACAGTAAAACTAACAACCCTGAATACAAAAATGCCAAGTTTTCCGTCTACGGGTTACTATTGGTCCTATAGGTATGATCCCCATTTATTAAGTTTGACTAGTTTTTGTGACGCGTGTTGCGCGATTGGATTAATGCCCAATGTTTTTTTCAATAAAATATCATATACATTCTCTTTATGCACAATTCTATGTACATAAGATTTTTACACATGTAGGTTGGAACATGATGAAATTAATTGTGTATATTTCTAATCCATTACTTCAGCCCCTCTGCTAAAGAAAGCAATCATATAAAAACACTTACTTTTTAAACATAATCAACCAAGCCATTTTGACTTGCTTTAGTAGGTTCTTTTTAAAAAATAATACGTAGTAATTAGGAGTATATAAAAAATAATACGTAGTAATTAGGAGTATTGATATATAGATCTTTTAAAAAATTATATATATTTGAAAAATAATGTCACAATAATATAAAGGAATTTTATAATTCCAGGACCTGAAAGATAGCCAAATTATCAATCTGGGACCTGAAAGATGAAATATATCGGTATAAGACCCGAATGATGGAAAACTCTCAATGTGAAAATATATAAATAGTTTAAAAACATTAAAAAATCAGAATTCTGAAAAAAGTGAAAATAAAAATAGAAAATATAAAATGTAAAAGTCATTTAAATAAATGTGGAATATTCAAATAATTTCAAATTTTCAAAAATTTTACAATTTTTGTCTATATTTCCACAAATTTTAATAATTTTTTACCGTTTTTAATATAAAAGCCTGCTATTATAGGTCAAAAACTGAATAAATGGTCAAATTGGTCAATTTTTTAAAAGTGTATTTATATGATGCTTTTTTTAGTACATGAGTTTAAATGATGGTAAAAAATAGTAAAAGGACATATTTGACCTTTTTTCCTTTTTCTAGTTACATGGTTTTAGCAATCTCGATGACTCTTCATCCACCTTGTTCTGATCATATGTGATACATCTCCATGTAGTTGATTTCCTTCTAAATTATACATCACACATGAAATAAAACAGAGAAAAATGACCCAAACCATTTCCCCCGGCCAAACTTTTTAGACATGAAAGTTTGAAAAAATTTAGAGTAACTTGTGATAGTACAACCTTTTGTAACTTCAATCCCCTTCTAAAATCTAGCTTTAGGAAGTGACTCTTTTCTCTGAACATATGTGTTATATTAATTTTATTATAATGATGATGTGGTTGATTCATGGAAGGAATCAAGACACTCGGACCAATCATAATAGTGTTAAACTCAAGTAAATTTATTTACTTGATAGTTTATCAATATGACAAAGTGGACATAACTATTGATAATTTATTTCAAAGATGTCCACTTGTAAAAGTCTACAGGTAAATAAAAATACATTAATTTTTAAATAATAATAATATGGAAGGGTAACAAATAATTAGCATTACCTTTCATAAAAGAAATATTATTAAGCTGAAGAGAATATATATTTAATGATTTTGGTGTATCAATTGTGTGGAAACTCAAATAATGCAGATGGCTCCCCTATCAAACGCGAAGCAGTTGGCCGGGAGAAAGGGAGAAAATGAGTAAAGGAAGCGGCGGAGCCGCCACGAAAGGTGGGAAGAAGAAGGGTGTGACCTTCGTCATCGACTGCTCGAAGCCGGTGGATGACAAGATCATGGATAACGCCTCTCTGGAGCAGTTCCTCCAGGAGCGAATCAAGGTCGGCGGTAAGGCCGGAGCGCTAGGAGACTCAGTTACCATCACCCGAGATAAGACCAAAATTACCGTCACTGCAGATTCCAACTTTTCCAAGCGGTATTTGAAATACTTAACAAAGAAGTATCTGAAGAAGAACAATGTGCGAGATTGGCTGCGTGTTATATCTTCAAACAAGGATAAAAATGTGTATGAATTGAGATACTTCAACATTGCCAAAAATGAGGCGGAAGATGATTATTAAGAGGTTGAATTACACCTTTCAATCTCTAGACACCATTGAATTATTAGTTTAAAGTGCTTGATTTTTCATTCCTGAGATAGATGTGCTGAACAACTACGAAAACTGAATTTTGGTAACTACGTTGTGAGCATATCATTTGGTAAGAATGTTTTGTTTCAATAGTAAAAAAAAAAAACTCAAATGATGCAGATAACTTTTTGTGTGAACACTTGTTTCCAAAACTGAATTACTGAAATTGTAATCTAGCCAGAAATTTTCAGTATTCCCTATTCTTCTCTACTTTGACCCAAAAGAAATCTTAAAATTGTTTTTGTGGGCTCTCAAAAAAAAAATAGTTTGTGTGGGATTATGAAGAAAAAGTGTTACTCCGTATTAAGTAATCATAACTTAACTGATTGTGTATCTCCATAAGAGATGAAAAAGTAATTATATATAGGCCATATATGGATTCGTTAGAACCAAATAACTTCTACTCGAGATAAAAGAAATAAAAATAATAATGCTCCCTCCGTCCCATAAAATAGTTCCCGCATTGACTTGGATCGGGGTTTAAGAAAGTGGGAATAAAGTGGAAATGTATGATTGTGATTGTGTAAGAAAAAGGTAAATGGATGTGAGCCACACAAAACTTTCCAAATTAAAAGGGGAAATGTGAACTATTTTTTGGGACATCCCAAAAAGGAAACCGAGAACTATTTTACGGGACGGAGGAATGATGTTTTGTCTCTAATCATGAATATGTGGCATAGACAAGGACCAAAGCTTCCACAAATTGGTGTGATGAATCTGGTTTATACCATTTAACAAACACTTAGTGAGCATTTCCTTATCCAGCCTGCAACATCTTAATCTTAATTATAGACGAAAATGTGCACTACAATTTGTTAAAATAATCACATGTACAATTTATAGATCTAATAATAACTTAAAAAACAAATTAAATGACAACAACATAATTGAAAGGCAGAACAAAATTTGCTTTGTTTCAATTCCCCTTTATCTACCTTGTACGATCAACAACTCCAAGAACTAAACATATAAACATGGATTCCAAAACCTGAAACGAATAGGTAAATAGGAATTAGAGATTACACATATTTAATTTGACAATCCAAAAACAAATGCACTCAAAGCAATAGAAGGAGGAAAGGAGCGTACCTTATAACATCGTAACTGAGCATCAAACCCTTCTGCCGTTGTCAGCTTCCATACGGACAACCTATATTGTGGGTGACGTTCCGTAACAGGTTGGTGTATCAAATATGGATCGGTGGAGTTCAAATAAGAGAGACATGGAAGGGATTGAAGTATTGGATGGTGTAGATTGTAGAAGTCGGCAATGAAAGTTGAATTAACGGAACGACAAAATAATACGTTAGACGGATAAACGGATAAAGCTGCCAATAATTAAATGTACAATGCCTAGACCGTGTGGTACAACTGCATATTACTTGATGTTACACCAACACATTTTTCATCCCTAAAATACCCTAACTGGCATTGATAATTATAAGTTTTTAAGATTTTGTACTGTATCCTTCCCAGACATATTTGTAAAAAATATGTCGAGGGGATGCATGCGCAGGTGAGGGAGGGTAAAAAATATGGTAATTTTTGGGCCTATTTATAGTGTGTAGGCGTGTGTATGAGTTATGTGTACCCAAGCCCAATTGTTTGAATAATAAGGGTACCCTCAATAATAATGTCACAATGCCGACTCATCCAATCCATCTCGGATGCTCTTAATAAGCTGCAATATAATAAGTGTGAATGATCCAAGTGCTCCACATCTTACACTTGAGTGGGGGTGCGCCGATTCAAAACTAGACTGGATTGAATCGAAAATGGGAAAAGAATACAAATTGGAAACCGCCCCAAAATATTTCCATTTTTATCCGAAACTAGACCATTTTAATTGTTTCAAAATTATTATTATTTGCAAAAAAACAAGTACATATAGAGTATTTATTACTATTAATAATGACATTATTAATGCATACGGAGTAGTATTTATTTTCTAAATGACATTTATTATTTATTTTCATTAATTTAGAGAATAAGGATTGGGGCAATTTCACTGCATAAGATTAAGAGCCCGTTTGGTAGCACCAAAATCGGCTGTTTTGGTTGATTCTGCTGGAATTTATGAAGTTCTGGCTGAAGTGGCTGCATTGACTGATTTTGCTGATTTAAAAAAAAATTATTTTTAAAATATATTTTATTACTAAAATAAAGAAAAAGTTATATGTAAAAATAACTAAAATGATCATCTACAGTAACTTCAGCCAATACAGCCAGAAAAGTAACTACAACCTTACTTTTTCTGCTTATTACAAAATTCAGCGCGCGAATGCAAAAAATACGTGTTTGGTGAAAAAGTTGGCTGATAAGCCTGATAAGCCGGAAAAAAGTGTTATCAAACGGCCTCTAAATGTTAGTTATTTTTATTATCAGTTTAATAATAGTAATTACAAATGGATAAACATAACATTATGATAATGCTTATTGTAATCATTATTATTTATCTTTGGGAGAAGTGTCAAATAGACTCCCTCCTACCAACTCAAAAAACACTCAATTAAACCCACGAACTATAAAAAACGAGACAAAACATATTTTTAGCAGGTAATTTTACGAGGAATTGTGAATCTCCCTGAAGGAATTGTCCGACGAGGAATTCTCCAACACTCTGACTTGGGGGGAAGACAAAGGCTATTCACCGAGGCCTCAAACCGGCGACTACCTCGGAGGGGAATTCGTTTTTATGATTTTAGAATAAGCATTCTCCTTGGAAAAAATGATATAGTTTTATTAATAATTAAATTGATGAGTGTGAATAGTGAGTTTGGAGCCTTGAATCACCTTAAATAATATTACTTCCATCCCCAAAACAAGTTATCATTTTCCTTTTGTGGATGTCTCAAAATGAATTTTTCATTTCTATAAAAGAATTCACTTTTGAGGTAAAAATTCTCAACTACGCTTACTTTTTTTCTATTTTGTTTATATAAAACAAAAATATATTTGGAAAGTCAAAACAAAATTCTTATATAAATATGTGTAAACCAAACTCAGAATTTCATTTCGGGATAGATGTGTAAGACCATTTGGAGTGGTAAGGTTTTAAGAGTCCAAAATGTTAAATTTAAAAATTTTGGACTCCTAATAATGTGTAGTGTTATGTTAGAAAGGGGTTAAAAATGAGTAAATAAGATAGAGGGTCTTTAAAATAAGACCCGTGTTGACAGAGTCTAAAGAAAAGGGAACAGAGGAAAATCAAGCGTTGTCCTCCCGTGGAGTGCAGGAGGCCAGGAGCTATACAATTTGATGATGTCACAGTGACATCATTAAATCACAATTTTTTTAAAACTCTATTAACTTTTTTATTTTTTATTCAATTTTTTCAAAACATATATCAAAATTCATGAATTTTTATAATCTTTCATATGACACCAATATACAATATATAAAATGAAAAAAATAATCTGAAATTATAATTGTTGACATTTTTTTGAATCTAAAATAACAAGAAACGCAAGTTTTTAATTCAGGGATCTCCACAAATTTCTCACTATTCCGCAATCAAACTTTACTTGTTCTATGTTCATTTTTGTTAACCGAAAAATGTTAAAAAAAATTAATGAAATTTATTTATTTTTACATCAAAATGTGTATATTTTTATTTCATAATAATTCAGATAAAAAATTTAAAAGAAGAAGTTAGTTATAATAATTTAAATAATGTTTTACTAAATTGATATCTAAAAAAATGTGCAGAGTGTATTTAATTGACAGTGCTGGAATGCAGAGAAATAGGAGTCAAAACATTGTTTTCATATCGACGGAGTCCATTTTTGACATTTAGATTCTTGCACCACTCCAAATGGTCTAACGGGCATCCCAAGGACCCAGGCAAACCCTCACGGCTTTACTCAGGCTATGAGCCTATCTTTCCGTCTCATATCTTAGTCCGGCCCAATGTCCCGAAACAAACAGCTTTTATGAATCCCGCTAGGAAAGGAATAACTAAAAAAAGTAATTGGACATCTATTTTATTTATCATTAAAAATTAAAACCATAAACCTTGTTTCTGCCGTCAATCTTTGCCTGATAGTCCCCTAAGTTCCGGCGGAGATGTACAACGGAATCGGGTTACAGACAGCCCGGGGCTCCGGGACGAACGGTTGCGTCCAGAAGAATAATTTTTCTGTGAGAGCGAAGACCAGTAAGGTCGCCGTGGACGCCGGAGGTAAAGGATTTGGGGAGAATCGAGGAACCGCCGGAGTGACCCGCAAGGCTAACAAAGAGATCCTGGAGCACGACCGGAAACGTCAGATCCAACTTAAGCTCATCGTCCTGGAGGAGACGCTCTCCGAGCAGGGCTACTCGGATGCTGAGATCGCTGAAAAATTGGAGCAGACTCGACAAACTTTAGAGGATTTTGACTCTAAGAAGTAACAATATTGTCCTTACTAATCTTTCATTCATAATAGTTCGTATAATTAATCATTTAAGAGCTGTTTTGTAGCTATTTGGGTATATATGAGTGTATAGATAGGTGTTGGTAATGGATTGTTGGAGCAATTCAAATTTACTACTTTCAAGAGTTCGAAATTTGTTCTTGAAGCTCATGATTAGTAAGGCTGAAAAACATTAATGCTGCTTATGCCTCATATTTTGTTCTTGTGCCTTTTCATCAATTAAATTTCTGGAGTAGTTCCAAATTTCCTATGGTTTTTTGTTTGTTGAGATATTCGGTAACAAATTCCTGCCTATATATGCTAAAGATTCTCACCTTTGATTAAGATAAACACGAAAATTTCCCACCGATCAATTGAAACTATGAACTTTCATGACTACTTGAAGCGAGTATTTATCAGTTGTTATGACGTTTTTTTTAAAAAGTGATTTCTTTAAATTCACATTTGTGATAGAGATTGGGTCAACCAACCCCCAGTTTCCTCGTTGTGGGAGGCTTTGGGTTCAAATTCCATCAAGGAAAATGAGGCAGGTCTTACTTTTAATGAGTTTTCTACTTTCACGGAATAGCTAAGCAGAATTAGGAGGGATGAGACGGTAATGAAGGTACTAGTGTTGTACGCTCTCGTCCTTTGCCAAAGCCGATTGTGAGAAAATTTGGATGGAACTGTGCAAGAGCTTTGGAGTTAGTTCATAAGCTTCAAGCTTATGGCAGCACAAGCACATAAAAAAAATAGTTAACATGAAAATCTGAAAGAACCTAACTGATAGGACTTGGTGGAAGAAGATCCATTTTATCCCACTTGATAACAAGTGACTATAAAAATCTGAATTATGGAACAGTTATTACAGAATGGGCTGTTTGGATAATTTAACCTGCTGACCCACGGTGTTAAGCTCAAGGAGTTTTGAGTTTTGATAATCCTCCATTGTCTGTACCCCAAGCTCTACCCTTTGTTTATCGCGTCTCATACCTCCAGATGCCTTCTCACGAATCTCACGCCACATGGACTTTTGACAATTCAAGTTCCCAGACTTTTGGCGATTCAGTTTCTCATTCCAGAAATTACCCCCCCCCCCCCCCCCCCCACCCATCAATCTCCAAGTCTCTCTAGTCTTCTCTCTTGTGGCTTGTGAGTTGCTTTGTTTTGTGAATTCCGACTTCTTCATTAGTCTTTAATTCTTCTGTTCTGTTTGACTGTCTCGCAGCCTCGCAGGTACGTATTTTTGTTCTCTTCTACTCTATGTTCTCTTTTATCTTAATTTTTTAAAATAATTTAAATTAAACTGTTTTATACGGAGTAGTTTATACCTAAGTGTAATAACTAATAAGGCAGTAGCCTTCCAATTGTCCGATTTTTTTTATTTAACAAATACGAAGTATATAAGAGTTTTTTTATTATTAACAATTTTTTAGTATTCCAAATTTGTTTTGCAAAGTCAACATTTTTTTATAAGCGATGTTAAAGGTAAATTCTCGCTATTGATAAATAATTCAATTATAATAAATTAATAATTAAAATTCACACATTCAAAAACTTCATCAAAATCTCTATAAAGTTGCAAAACTCAAATTAAAAATTATTTAAGGATTGATATCCTAAGTAAGTGAATAAAATGAAACTGTTTTACCCGGGTCGGGCCGCTCGGCCCGGAACCGGCTCAGCCCGGTACTGTTTGGGCCCGGCCCGGTTGGCCGGTCGTTGGGCCGGTTCGGGCCTACTGAACCGCTCGATTCCCGGGGTGGGCTAGGGCCTCCTAAAAGTGGAATCGGCCCGGCCGGTTCAGGCCCGATTCGGGCCAATTTTTTTTGTTCAATTTTTTTTGTTTCTATCGGGTTGGGCTGGGTGTTTTGGGGGGGGGGGGGGGGTGAAGGGGGGTCGGGGATTAATTACAAAAGCAAAAGAAAAAAAACATTGAACCAGCCCGGCCCAGAACCGCTGCCTACCCGGGCCGGTTCTGGTTCTCCCTTCACAGAGAAAAAGCCCGGCCGGGCCCAGGCCCGAACCGGAACCGGCCCGGCCCAAGTCCATCCCTAGGAGGGAGTAGTTTATTACAAAAATTATTATTATTATTATTTTAAATTATTATTATCAGTTCATCAAAAAATTACTATTAACAAATTATTTAAAATTTATCAAAAAATATAACTAGGCAGTAGCCCTCCAATAGTCCGATCAAAGCATATTGTATTTTTTTTTTTTACAATTTTACTCTAAATTATAACCAATTATACAAAAATTACTATTAATTATTTTTCTTAAAAGAATCTGGTTTATAAAAAAATATAATGAAATTGCTTTAAATAAGACTTTAATTTAGACATAGTGCTCAAATAGGACTACATGTGTTTTATTTCCAAAGTAGAATTTATTTGATCCTATTAATAAAACTTCCCCTTTTAGTAGTGAATAAGTCATATTTTAAGAAAAAACAATGATGGTCTTATATGTGCAATTTGTCTATATTTTAGTCCTATATAAGGAATTTCCTCAAAAATATACGTAGGCAGTAGCCACCCAATAGTCCAGTCAAAGCATATTGTACTTTTTTTTACAATTTTATTCTAATATTATAAGACACACTTGAATGTTTGTTACTGTAATGCCAGCGTTAGGGATTCAATGGACTCAATTACAACTTCTCTCATGGGTTATTTCGATTCTAAAGATCTCGCAAGAAAATATGAAGATCTTCACTTGTAATTTCTGTTCAAAAGTAACTAAGAGATGGGGTTTTCGTCTGAAACAACATCTTGTTGTGGGTTTAGGAACATTACAAAATGTCATAATTGTCCTGAACATGTTCGAGAAGAAGTTAAAGCGTGTATGTGGAAAAAACAAGCTTCTAAGGAAGAAAAATTGAGTTGCTCCCAAAAGTGACCCAACTTAAGTATGATGGGGATGCAAAAGATGATTTTGTTGATCTCACAAATAGATTGCCATCCCTCAAAAGATCAAGATAAAAGAGTCCAATTGATTCACAGGTCATAGGAATTTGCACAGGCCTGACATCATGAGATTCACTACATCTTTTATCACTCTTTCTCAGTATCACAAGCAGAAGAATAGTTTGAGGAAGTTGGTGACCTTGAAAGATTGGAGATCTAGCGAATGGTCAAGAGAAGCAGCTGGAAAGAAAGTTGCGTCATATTATTGCAAGAGAGTTTCTGGAAGAGTGTTGTTTATGATTTGAAGTTGGCGGGTCCGCTTGTAAAAGTGTTGAGGACCGTCGAAGGAGAAAGAAAGCCGATCATGGGATACATATATGAAGCTATGGATAGGGTTAAGGAGACCATTGCAAAAACTTTCGGAGAAAAAGAAGACGCTTATAAGAAAACATTTGAAATGATCGATGAGAGATGGCAATGTCAGTTGCACCAGCCGTTGCATGCCGCAGGGCTTTACTTGAATCCGGAATTCTTCTATGATGATTCAGAACGCATAATGGACAATGAAGAGGTGATGAACGGCTTGTACGCTTGTATCGCTAGATTGGTTCATGATGTTGAAGGGCAAGATAAAGCCATCGAGGAGTTAGGTGCATATTCGAGTGCACAAGACTTGCATTATGGCAAGCCATAAGGGAGAGAAAATTAAAATCTGTCGGTAGTGATTAATGATTATAACTTATAATTCTTTCTATGACAAATTATAATTTAAGTTTATAAACTCAAATGATTTTCAGTTTTCAATAAACTGGCCTTTCATATAAAACTCCCAAAACTGAAATGCTAGCAAATTGGTGGAACTCTTTTGGATCATTTGCTCCTATTTTGAAGAAGTTCGCCATTCGAGTGTACTTAACCTTACTTGTAGTGCCACGGGTTGTGAAAGAAATTCCGGGTGTTTTTTAGCATGTAAGTTCTAATATGCGAATTAAACATGCTAATTTTCATATATTTTAAATTTCAAAAATCTACATAATTGCATTTTGACAATTTCATACTAAGAAGAGAAACTGATTGGCACAAAGTCCTTTGAATGACTTAGTTTTTGTGAAATATAACCATGCTTTGAAAAGATGGTATGAGAGGAAAGACACCCTTGATCCCATTCTATTAGAAGAGATTAAACTAATGAGCGGTTGCTTAGAAGAATGGAAAATGATGATGAGGATGATGGTTATGTGTTTGAAGATGACACTTTGACATGGGGGCAGTTGTTAGAGATGTTGGAGCATTGAGCCTAATTATGTTACCCGATCAGCAACTACGAACGATTGGGCTAGCACATCACAAAGTGACAAAAGCATAAGAGTGTTGAAGAAGCTTGGGAGGAAGACTAGAGTAACTGATGATGAAGGAAATGATGATATTGAGGTTGCTACTCTTAATAATGAGGATGATGATTGTGATGATATCTAGGTTGCTACTCTGGAGTAACCTAGATTTCACAACTTTGTTTGCTACTTTGCTTTTGTGACTTTTGGCAATCATACCATTAAATATATCTTATTATTTTGTTTCTTTTATGACGTTTATTAGGATTATTTAATAGCTTGAAATATTTTCGAGAAGAGTGCTTCATGTAGAAGTAATATAAGTTTATATTTACCAAAGATATGTGGTTTATATAAGTGAGACACGCTAGAGTAAATCAATGAAATCGCCTCATGTCACCCCACGCCTTTTAAAACTAAGATCTTCACTTATATCTTCACTTCTTTTATGCTTGTTTATGAGAAATTGAGCAAACATAAGATTAATATTGACTCTGTATTCGTTTAATTAACTTCTCAAATAAATCAAATCACCAAATTATCATTCCCAGATTATGGGTCTTAAAGTTCACAAGTGCTAAAATTAGATACTCGTACTTCGTAATATGCAACTACCAAACTTTCAAGTCAATTAAATTCATATCAACTTTTCTGCTAAACCTAAATTATAGACTAGTTTATGTTGTGAGATTATGTGTTATCCAGTTTTTGTGGTTTGCTTAAGCAAGAGATTGATTCAAGTTCAAGAGAATATCCTACGTAGGCTGTGTTATCCAGTTTTTGTGGTTTGCTTAAGCAAGAGATTGATTCAAGTTCAAGAGAATATCCTACGTAGGCATGGACCACGTAAACCTGGTTTGTTGAATTGCCCAATAATTTAATTGCGGATTTATTGAACTTAAGCGAATTCACGTAAAACAAGAAGACTTTTATAAAAAAAAAATTAAAGGCAAGTTTTCTTCTACATTGAATTCGGTCATAGCTTTTCTATATTGATTATCATTATAAATAAAATTACCAAAGCATTAGGAATCTGCAAATCTTGAAATTTGTGTTTACCTCCCCTTGCCTTTAGTTCTTTACGCCTCCATAGGGTGTCGCCCCTACAAATGCCTCTTCACCATGCGATAACCTCCCGCCTTTCCCATGCTTAGTCTTAGACCGTAGTGCTGACATGTTACTTAGCACATCCCGTCCTTGGGATCTTTTTCCTTATCATGATGCTTTAAATGGTCAGAACGTAATTTCTCTATAAACTTATCTTTATTTGTCGAGTTTTGCGGATGAACCGACGGTGCTCCCTTGGTCTTCATCGATGGTATCCCCACCTTGTTGCTCCTCTGCCAGGTGCTCCTCATCATCATTGTCGTCCTCAACATCTTCATCTGTTTTGGGAATGGTTTCTTGATTTAGAAACTACCCTCCTCGTTGCTTCAAAAGTTGCACCAATTTGGATATAGCATAAAACTCATTTTTTGTACTCATTTTGTAATGTTATACCAATGCTAATTTCTTTGAAAGTTATGCTCTTATATGTATAACTTAAAACTTATTTCTATAACTTACACATGTAACATATGCATTACAAATGACTTAGAATAAATATCTCTTAACAATAAAGCTCAACTGGTTTTAACACAATGCACATTGTAAAATTGGTGAATGCTCATTTCAAATAGAATGATAGAAAAGTATAACATTAATCGCACAAAATATCACATAAGAATCATTAATAGTTGAATCCTATAAATAAAAACCTAGGACTAAAGTACATTTTTAGTCCCTGCAAATATGACACACTTTGTTTTAGGTCCCTGCAAAATAATTTTTTTTGTTTTTCATCCCTGTAATATGCACCATTTTGGTTTTAGTCCTTCTAAAATTTCAAAACCACTCTACTCAGGAAAAAAATTATTTCTGGTTGTATAGATTTACTAGAAATATTTAAATTTATCCATTTATAATTTTTTTGATGCTAATATGAGAGTAAAAATAATTTAAAACTAAGTATTCACATTTTAAAATATATATAAAGAGCCTTCATAAAAATAAAATAAATTATTTTTTTAATAACATGACAAATAATTAGAGGAAATGTATTAGTCAGGGTTATTTTGAAGTCAAGCAAAGATTGTTATCATCAGTGATGGACTAAAACGAAAACTAGCATAAATTGCAGGGACGAAAAACAAAAAAATAATTTTGCAAGGATGTAAAACAAAATGTACCATATTTGCAGGGACTAAAAACATATTTAAACCATCTTAGCAAGAATTTTTTTTATTATTGAAATAAAGAAAAAAAAACATCTGTAATGTAGTCTAATTAGGGGTGGACCGGGCCGGGTCGGGCCGGGATTTGGGCGGGATTGGGTTTGGGAATTGAAGGCCTGGTACCGGCCCGGGTTGGTTCCAGGACCGAGCCGGGCTCGGGCCGGGTTCAGTTTTTTTTTTTTTTAATTTGGTTTTTCTTATTTATTCCCACCCCCACCCTCAAACCACCCAGCCCAACCCGCCTAGCACCCAACCCATTAAAAAAAACAATTTAAGCCCAGACCGGTCCACCTAATGCCAATCCCGTAGCCCGCCCCAACCCCCCCTGGTTCGGGCTCGGTCCCAGTCCCGGCGGCTGGGACAGGCCGATAGCGCGCAGTAGCAGTCCGGGCCGGTCCGAACTGGCCCAGTACATGCCTAAGTCTTATACTCGTATAATCGAGTTTCATCTAGCTTAGATTCAAACCAATTCAATTAAAAAGGGAAAATGGGCAAATAAGCCCCCGAACTAACAAAAAAAAGTGCAAATCACCCCTTATATAGGAGGCTCTGTCCGGCCGTCGTCATTTGGGGAGGTTCCCGTGGCACTTTTTGATGAAATGTTTTTAGCATCTTCTTCATTAAGTCTAGTTTACTCATACCAAATTTCAGATAAAAATTCAATCTGGAAGGCAGTCAAATGAATTTGTGAAGATAACTGTGCAGACGTGCAGTTAAACAACGCAGTATATTTCAGAAAATCATTTGACTGCCTTCCAGGTTTTATTTTTAGCCGAAATTTGGTATGGGTAAACTAGACTTAGTGAAGAAGATTCTAAAAAAAATTCATCAAAAAACTCCACCGAGAACCGCCCCAAATAACGACGGCCGGACAGAACCTCCTATTTAAGGGGTGATTTGCACTTTCTTTTGTTAGTTTGAGAGCTTATTTGCCCCTTTTCCCCTTAAAAAATCATCTTATCCTACGCTCTTGATCCGACATTCCGTGATTTCCGTCACCTCGCCACCAGTGTTGATTGACTTTTAAGTTTTAAATGGAATTATGGAACCAAGTTACTGAGATTATCAAAAGAAAATTCCGAGTTTAGAAAAAAGTCTCCGTTTATATACTTTTATATGAAGCATAATGATGTTCTTCTCAATAAGAAAGATATAAATAAATAAAAGGCACGATATCACGATGATGTTCTTTGTGACGAAATAAAAGCTGATGTTCACGATGATGTTTTTTAAATGAGCGTACTTGAGACATAACTTCATAAATTTCAATAAAATCAGTCGATTCAGCTAATTTCAGTGCTATTAAACGGCTCCTTAGATGTTTTTACTTGAACTTATTTCAATTCTAGACCAGGCCAGATCTATTCATACAAGCCCAGCCCAGATCACACCATACTTCGATAGTTATAAACTACAAAGAGATCAGTCATCTACCAGAGCAGTCATCTACCGATAAATAATTTAATTAATCACACATTAATTAAATAAATCATTATTCCACATGAAATCCTTCGCTAGAAAATTCAAATACATACCGAATCTTAAATTCAAGTACATCCGGGTGCGGTGTCACACACCGTCCATGTCACTGTAGCCACCGCCCGTGTCACTGTAGTCACCGTTCGTGTCACTGTAGCCACCGTCCGTGTCACTATGATCATTTTTCGTTTAGTGAAGCGGCCAGCCTTAGCTGGCCGCCACAATGGCGGCTGTCCCCGCAACACCGCGCCTGACTAACCGCCACCCCACTCCACACTCGCATTTAGCCCCGCACACATACCCCTGGCAACCACCACCATTGACCGCCGCCGCCCTAACCGTGACCAAACCGACAGCTCCCCAGCCCACAAGCCCCCTCCCCAGCCCCACCTCAACCCACCAGCCCTCTCCCCAGCCCCACCTCAACCCACCAGCCCCCGGAGCCCCACCACAACCCACCAGTGACCACCGCCTAACGCCCTAACCCCACCGGCCACAACCCCCGACGACCATCGTGCCCACACCACAGCTTCAATCACTTCACCACCCACCGGTCCTTCCACAGTAACTATCTCACCCTCAGCCCTACCCCTGCCACTATCCCACCCCACTCCGATCAATTTCCGGTCGCACCCCATTCTACTGGCCAACCACTGCCTCACCTGGCTCACCACCGCTCAACCATGTTCAACCTTCAGATCTGAAAGTCTAGCGGCCCCAATCCTTCAGATCTGATAGAGATCCGTCCGATTGAAGAAAGGAGAAGAAGATATGAGTGGAGGCAAGCGACCGGATGTGCGGCAGCAGAGCTCGAGGCGGTGGCTTCGTCCATGGCGGCAGCAGAGCTCCAATCGGTGGATTCAGCCATGGCGGCAGTAGATCATCATGATTTCCCTCCCCTCTATTGATTACTTCCATGCATGCCATCATCTTCTTCCTCTATACATCCTCCATCCCCGCCGTCGGACACCCAAAACTGGCCTCTTCCTCCACCGCAGCTTCCCGGGCTCTCTTAAAATCTGACCTTGACGAAGATGCCGCCAGGAAATTTCACCTAGCCATGGCGGCAGCGGCTCCAAGTTCGGGTTCCTTTGACAGAGTCGGCGGCGCTCCACCACTCCCAAAAGACATTTTCACGATGAATGCATCAATGTAATTGGTAGTTTGGACTTTGGAGTACATGGACGACTTCAGAAATGAACATGACGGCCCGTGGGATATGAAATTCTCTATTTTTCGGACCTTCAGTTGTTTTCAAGAAGCCTTAAGGGTAAGTTTGGAAAATTAGATAATTTTGGGCTGTATTTAGCAAAAAAACAGTTTGTATTTAGAATTAGAGTGAATTCCCTAAATAGGACTAAAAAGTGGAAAAATTGCACAAATAGGACTACATTTTTTAAATTCCCTTAATAGGACTATTTATGTGTGTTTGGACAAATATACCCTTGTAACTTGTGAAATGTTTTAATTAATAATAAAATCATAAAAAAATTAATAAAAATCGAAAAAAATACTAAAAATCGTAAAAAAAATAATAGAAAATTAATAAAAATATTTTTTTAAAAAAATAAAAAAAATATTTTTTAAAAAAAAATAAAAAATAAATAAAAAAATCATAAAATTAAAAAAACACATTACCACCCCTGCCACCCCCAACACCACCATCTCCCATCACCGGACAAAAATATGCCAACATTATAAATAATGCCATAATGATGGCATAATCAATGAAAATGTTGGCATATTGAAGAGTAATTATGCCATCTTTTTGGCATTTTCAGAAAAATATGACATTTTTTTACCAAAAGTGGAAGAAATTTCACCAATCGGAGGTGGTGGTGCTGGGAGGCGGCGGGAGGCGGTGAGAAAGGTATCCATAATTTTTTTCATTTTTTATGAGTTTTTACTATTTTTTATTATTTTTTAAAAAAATTAAAAAAATAAAAAATTAAATTTTTTATTTTATAAATGTTTTATAATTTTTTTTTTTTAATTTTTTACGTTTTTTAAATATTTTTTTAGGTTTTTTGTGATTTTATTATGAATTAAAGCATTTCATTATGAATTAATACTCTTAGGGGTATTTAGGATAGAAAATCAATGTTTAGTCCTATTTAGGGAATTTTAAAAATAGTAGTCCTATTTGTGCTTTTTAGGAATTTTTTAGTCCTATTTAGGACAATTTCCGTTAGAATTACCCTACAATTATTAGACAAGACATGTCCAAATTAGACTTAAACAGATCAAAGTAACACACGACGAAATTGAAGTCCAATTGAATCCGTCTTTTGTGACGACCTCTAATACATATGTTGGGACTGTCTTTTTTCTTTCTATAAAATTTGGTGACAAAAAAGTTGTTCTTCATCCAATCATCCCCTCTATATTAATTTAAATTAATGCGGAGTATTTATTAATTAGGAAGTACTATATAATCACGTCACTAAGATTTAATCCATTCAGTAGTAGTTGGGGTAATGGAGAAGGCAACTCTGGCGGTTTTGGTTTGGGGGTTAGTTCTCCTGACGGCGTTTGTCCCGGGAGAAGGTCAGATTCAGATTCCGTCAAGGCTGGACGGGTTCTGGTACGAGGAAAGAGCAGCGGGGATAAACTCCGTTGCGATAGAGGCGTTTCTTGACCCGGTCTGCCCTGACAGCAGAGACTCGTGGGGCCCCCTCAAGCGGACTCTCCGTCAATACGGCTCTCGCCTCTCACTTCTCGTCCACCCCTTCTCTTTGCCGTATGTTTCAATCCTTCCTCATTGATTGCTTATGCTTGGCTGTTATTCCGTATCTTTTTCTTTTGATGCAAAAAAAAAACTAGTAAAAATTTAAAAGCTGCTTTTGACATACATTGCGGTCACTCACCCGTTTTCAGTAATTAGATTTTGAAATTTCAAAATATGATTTTGTTTTTCAAAAGAGATATAACATGGTATTATATGGAATATGTCCCAAGTTGAGTTATAAAGTTGACTTTTTAGGATCAAACAAACTCATATCATTCACTTAATTATAATGTAAATTCTTAATTAAATTTTAATTTAGATTTTGAAATTTTGTAGAGATTTTAGTGTAGTTTTTAAATATGTAAACTTTAAATATTAAAATTGAATTAATTATCAATAGAGCATTACGTAGTACGGAGTAATAGTTAATGACATTGTGGAGTCATTACTGCAAAATAGTTGCATTATTAGACATTAACATGACATTATCCATTTTATTTTAGAACTCTAAAATCTATTTACTCTTATTTAGATCAGTTTCCCTTGAGTTTTGACAAAGTCTCTCACATCAATTAGTGATGTGATCCCAGCATTGTCAACATTTTTTGTTAACAATGCCTAAGAGTTTGTTTAATAATAGTGAGTTATTTTGATTATTACAATTGTGCAAACTCAATCAAAAAGTAATTTTAACTTTATTTATTTTGGTTATTACACAATTTAGAATCAAAAGTTGCGTTTTTCGAATTTGGAAATAAAGTTAACTGATAAGGTGATCAATTGAAAATATGAGTTAACAAGCGGGCTTAAATTTAATATGATTCCTCTAAGTATGATTGTTGGTCCAAAATAGAACGCTCGTAGGCTTTTAGGAAAGCTACGAAAGACACTCAAGCAGGAAATCAAGAAAGTAATACGAATAAGGAAAGTGCTAAGGGAATTTGGTAGCCAGAAATAGCATCTGAAATCTGTCCCCCCTAAACTGAATTACAATCCGCCTTTTATAGGCGTATACAAATCGTAACCGCTATCGATAATAATGACTAATTAATTACAACATTAATACAGAATTAAATACATAATTAAACAACGCATTAATTGTTTGACCGTTACTTTTGCCAACTGGCAGGTCAGCCGAACTGGCAGGCTTCCCGCTGGGCTGGTAGGCAGGTTCCAGGTTGTGGACTTGGATCCACGGGTCCAAATTCAGGGCTTGGGTCGATTGGGCTTTGGGCCTAGTCTCATTACCCCATCAATGATTATTTTACACCGTTCATTACAAAATATTCATCATATACGGAGTACCTTTTAAGAATACCACTCGTATCAATCCAGCTTGAGGTACACATTTTCATACACACACCTACACACTCATGTTTGTGAAGAGTATTTTTTTGTCTGTATACAGACATAACGAATTTTCAAATACGTTAGGTCTGTATACAGACAAAAAAATACTCTTCACAAACATGAGTGTGTAGGTGTGTGTATGAAAAATGTGTACCAATAGATTTTTTTGCTACTCGTATAAAACAAAGTACAGTACAATGACAATTGACACACTCAACCCTTCTTTATTAGTACTGTTTTCATGATGTACGTGCTTTCAGGGGCGGATCCAGCATCCTCATTCAGGTGGGACCAAAATTTAATTAAATAATTTAGATTGCAAAAAATGTCAGTGCGTAGTAAAATAGTATGTTATTTGACATGATTTATTTTCAAATATAAAATAAAATCTGTTGCAACATAAATGTCAAAGACAAAAATAAATATAACGGGAATAAGAATTTCTGTCGAAAGCAAAAAACACTTCAAAATCATACATATTGAACAAATTTTCACCTACCAAATCCAATGAATTGAACAAATTAATTTTTCGGACTCATATTCAAAAAGGCCAATATCATTCACAATATTAATATCTAACTCATTTAACATTTGAGATCAATTAGCGTTAGCATTGTAGTAACCAATCTTAGAAGACTAATTTTAAATAGAAATTCTGTATGAAGGACAAAGACAAAGGAAAGAAATTAAGATTTGTACGCTATGCTCCCCATTGAGAAGGTAAGAAAAAGCTCTAGATGGGCTTCGAACCCTGGACGTGTAGGCCTTCAAACACTAGAAGTGCAAGTATATGCATCAATCTATTTCCATCAAGCCAAACTATCGATTGAACACTAATTATATATAATGTAATGTGTATATAGAGGAATGATCCTATCCAGCCGGAGGGACAGGATCTTCCGTCCGGCCGCCGCCTTTTGGGGCGGTTCCCGGTGGAGTTTTTTGATGAAATTTTTATGGAATGTTCCTCATCAAGTCTAGTTTATCCACAAAAAATTTCAGCTAAAAATTCGATCGGGAAGGCAGTCAAATAATTTTTTGAAACATAACTGCGTTTTATATGTTTAAGTTGGAGCAGTTATCTTCAAAAAATTATTTGACTGCCTTCCCGATCGAATTTTTAGCTGAAATTTTTTGTGGATAAACTAGACTTGATGAGGAACATTCCATAAAAATTTCATCAAAAAACTCCACCGGGAACCGCCCTAAACGGCGGCGGCCGGAAGGAGGATCCTGTCCCTCCGGCTGGACAGGATCTTTTCCGTATATATATACTAGTAATTTTATTTTTTTTGAGGTTGGGCCTAGGCCCCCCTGGCCTAGGGCTAGATCCGCCCCTGCATGCTTTTACTGTTATTATTATTAATAATCCGTTTTCTTATTATTATTATTATTATTATTACCACCATCATCATCATCATCATCATCATCACTAAACACACAATGAATGGATTGATCGCATGCAGTTATCACGACAATTCATTTGTTTGTTCCCGAGCTTTGCACGTAGTGAATCAGTTAAATCGTTCAGCCACTTATCCCTTGCTCGAGTCTTTCTTCAAGCACCAGGTGAGAATAATTTATGATGAACTGATAACCATTAAGTTCGTTGGTTAATTAGAAAATATAATCAAATTTTGTATGTATTATAAAATTTTGTGTTTTGTATAAATAGATTATCGCCGGTTAGTTTATTTAATTTGACTAGTTTCAGTACTTGACTGCTTAATAAATGGTGTATGGGTTTGGCCGGTAATTTTTTCCAAGGAAATAAACTCATCACCTAATATTAATATGATCATTGATCAATGCTAAAAACATTAACCATAAAACCAGGAGGATTAAACAACCAAAATTGACAATGAGACATAAAACATGCGGGTTTACCTAAGGCCGGTTATTATTGAATGTTGTGATCCACTAAGACCAAATGTATGATCGTTTTGTATTTTCTAATTAATTATTACGTCGTAGTACGTAGTATAAAAGAAATGAATGTGTTAACCATTTTTATATTCAAACAAATTATCAAAATAAATAAATAACAATACATTTTTATAATGTTAACACACTAGTTTTTAAGAAATTAATAATGCCTTGTTATAAATTAAAATATGTACATAGTTTTTATTGTCACTTTAAATATTTTACTTTTAATTTATTAGCTATGTTTTGGTCTGTTTTTTCCCTTAACAGTATGACGATTGACGAAGACTTCTATAATGGCCGACATTTTTGGTCGCAAGACTTTTATGTTTTGGAGTATCTCTTTAAAGAAAAGAAAACAAACAGTTTAATCAAGTCGTGGGTAAAAAAAGTAAAACAACAAACTGGAATATATGTCCACCAATACTATAATTAATTTAAGTTTTGGTCAATATTCGCATCAAGTTAAATTCGAATGTAATTAATTAATTGCTAAGAGTTTTGAACAGGAACAATTTTACGGCAAATCGACTTTGAACTCGTCTAAAGCATCAGTTGTAGATCACGTTATCAAATTTGCTGCCAAAACAGTGGGAGATTCCTTGTACCGTCAACTCAAGTATGGGTTTAATGACACTAAGACTGATCAAGCAACCAGAATTTCCTTCAAGGTATAATATACGGAGTATATATACTACTAATAACTGCTACGTAGTAGTATAGGATTCAAAATAATTTTTGGAGGTGGAAATTATTTTTTGAGGGGGCAAATATTATTTTTCATGTATATATATATATATATATATACATATACATATACATATATATATATATATATATACACACACACACTAAAAAAATTTGTTGGGGAGACGGTAGCCACTGGGTCTCTACTACGGTCGGCCCATGTACTATACTACCTCCTCCGTCCCGTATTTAACTTTATGCTTTGACTTCACTCATATTAAGGAAATAAATTTACTGAGAAGTAAATTTTACTGTAGAGTACATTGTTGTGACATTGTTTGTCACTGTTTTGCACTGTTTTGGTGTAGATTTATTTCCCAAATAAGAAAGTATAAACTAGTGTGAGACATCCAGAAAAAGAAAGTGTAAACTTAAATACGGGAAGGAAGGAGTATTCAAACATGCATATTATGAGCCCGTTTGGTGACACTGTTTTTCAACTTATCAGGCCTATCAGCCAACTTTTTCTTTAGATACGTGAGTTTTGATTTCACGCGCTGAATTGTGTGATACTCACTAATAAGAAAAAGTAAGGTTGGGGTTATTTTTTCGGCTGTATTGGTTGAAATTACTGTAGATAATCATTTTATCTATTTTTCATCTAATTTTTCTTGATTTTAATAATGAGAAATATTTTAAATATAATTTTTTCATAACTCAGCAAAATCAGCCAATCCAGACGTTTCAGCTAGAACTTCAAAAAATTTAGTAGAATCGGCCGATTCAACCAATTTAGGTGTTATCAAACGGACTCTAAGTCTCTAACTTGATTGATTTTTGTTTGCCACGAGTTTCATGTTATTTACGGAAACTCGATCTGTTAAGCTAATTTCATTTTAGCCAATTTTTATTTGTTTAGATGAATGACTTTAGTGGAAAAATTAACAAAATGTTTGACTACAAATTCTTTTAAAGCTCGTTTGGTAACACTAAAATTGGCTGTGTTGGCTGATTCTGCTGAAATTTATTAAGTTCTGGCTGAAGTGACTATATTGACTGATTTTGCTAATTCATGAAAAAATTATATTTAAAATATTTTTATAAATAAATAAAATAAAGAAGTATATGAAAAATAGCTAAAATGATTCTCTACAGTAACTTCAGCCAATACAGCCAGAAAAGTAACTCCAACATTATTTTTTCTGCTTATTATATAATTTAGCACGCGAAATAAAAAATTACATGTTTGGTGAAAAAGCTGACTGATAAGCCTGATAAGCCGAAATAGGGGTCACCCCTCTTAAATTTGCATGGGATGGGCTGGAGTGCTGCACCGAGCATGGCCCTTACCTCTACCCGTATATCTAACGGTTGAATGTAATTGTTGATGTTTGATGGTTAAAAATACGAAGTATTTTATAGTTGAGTTCCATTTTCGAACAAACGAGATTCCAGTCAAACCGGCCCGATTGTAATAGTTCTCATTATACACACATGTATATCTAGAGTTAAACATGGTACTATCATCCGTTTTTTAATTCTTGTAATAGTTTGACTTTTACGTTTGTCAACGCACAACTTTGACGGTAATCAGTGGCGGAACTAGAACAATTTTTTAGGGATGGCTAAGAATTCCAAATGAGATTTTTCCCCCTATTAAGGATGATTTTAAATGGACTAGAATTTCGTGATCTGATTTGGGCTATGTTTGGCACAACGAGCTGAAGCTGGAGGCTATTGTCTGAAATAGGAGTTATTGTCTGAATCAAAGACTATTGTCTGGACCTGAACTTTGAAGTGATGAATCTGAACTGCTAGCTGGATGAAGTAGACTCGTTTGGCAAAAAGAGTTGAAAAAGTGCAGGAATAATGTGAAATTACATTATAGGACATATCATTTATTAATAGAATAAAATATATTAATTATTATAATTTGATATATGTATAAAATATATTCATTATAATGATTTTAATCGAACACTTTTTAGACGTATAAGCTCATATAAAAACATAGAAGCAGTACTATGCGAGTGCGGAAGAAATATCAGGAATTAGAGGTATGATTTGTATCCCACAAGCAATACATACACAAGTAAATTTATAAACCAAAAGCAATTTAATATATACCTTAAAAAAATAAATCAGGTGAAGATGGATTCTGGGGAGACATTTATCAACGAATTGAAGAAAGTGATGACCAGACGGAGTAAAGAAAGGTGAGAGACCGTAGGATAAATTGGGAACCGAAGAAAATTTTATGACCGGCTGAATACAAACGCTAGGTTGGATAGCGTTGTTATTCAGTTCTATTTTTCCAGGTTCAGCCCATTTAAGTTCATTTGCCAAACAGATCTACTCCTAAAATAATTGACTGAAATTTTAATATTTCAGCCTATTTTGAGCTTATGTGGCTTGCCAAACATAGCCTTGGTTGTTTAAGTCTGACCATGTAGATGTCTGGTCTATATGTGTATTTTACAACTGTGGAGTGTGGTTTGAAAATTGAAATGTTAAGTCTAGTCTGATTGGTTCTCATTTGGAACTGAAATTAGTTCAAATAAAAATATCGTAATTTCTTCGTTACCTCGTTTAGAAGACCCATCACCCCCTTCTTACAAATTGTAATATAACATAGGCATGCAATCTGGCAAATTATTAAATCATAAATTCCAAATGGCAAAAGGGACAAATAAGCCCTCGAACTAACCAAAAAATGCAAATAAGCCCTTATATAGGATGTTCTGTCTGCCTGTCTCCGTTTAGGGAGGTTCCCGGTGGAATTTTTTGATGAAAATTTTTGAACATCTTATTCATTAAGTCTAGTTTAGCCATACTCAATTTCAGCTAAAAATTCAATCGGGAAGGCAGTCAAATGAATTTTTGAAGATAACTGCTAGTTAAACAGCACAGTATATTTCAGAAAATCATTTGACTACCTTCACGGTTGAAGTTTTAGCTGAAATTTGGTATGACTAAACTAGACTTGATGACGAAGATCCTCAAAAAAATTCATCAAAAAATTCCACCAGGAAACTCTCAAAATGACGACATCCGGACAGAGTCTCCTATATAAGGGGTTATTTGCACTTTTTTGGTTAGTTCGAGGGCTTATTTGCCCCTTTTCCCGTTCCAAATTAGAAAATTATAAAATTATAAAATCTTAAATTCACATATAACATACTAAGTATGTGATGTGAATCATAGTCATTTTTACTGATCTGACTTGTTTAAAATGGTAGATAGCTTAATTAAGTAAATTAAAGAACTAACTTAGGTAAAAACTAAGGTAATTAAGTACATTAGTAAATCAGTAAACAAATTAAAGACCATTAAAATAAATTTAAAACAAACCATAACCGCCCCAACGGGTATAACCGCGGGTAACCGCGAGTAATCGTTTTATTAAATGAGTCATTGATATTTAATATATAGAAATAGTATTTTAAAAGGCAAAAAATGACATCGCCTAGACGACTCTAAACTCATACGCCACTTTGAAGTTTCGTATATCTACAAGACGCAAAAGAAGGTAACCTAAATAAATTTGAATCTAAAAATACTTAATCTTAGATATAATTAATCATGAAAAAAATCTGATAATAATCAAACAAGACTACTAAAATCTATTATGAACTTTCATTCATACACTAGTTAATACATCTATTATCCATATATATACACACAATGAAAATAGAAAAATATCATCCTTTAGTAGTTGCACGACAAATAATAGATAAAAAGGTAATAAAAATATAACTAAAAATAAACGGGGCGGGTACGGGGCGGGTAATGAGGCGGGCATGTACAAAATCGTAGCCTCCCCGTTACCCGTAAAAACATGACGGGTATTCCCTGTCCCGTACCCGTTACCCGCGGTCAATGCGGCTTTCCCAGTTTTGACCGGGGAATTCGGTGCCGGTATCCATCGGATCGGTCACAATTATCATCCCTTAACTCTTTAAGTGACTACTGATGTTAAGCATTTGAGTCTCAAATGAATGCGTTTTATCTTTCAAGTTAATGACTAAAAGTTAAGATGCATTTGCATCCTAAATTGAAAAAGACGTACACAAGATTACAAGAAAGGAAATTATTGTTGACGAATTTGATGTTCGGATTTTAATTTTAATTATTTTGGTGACAGTATGGGTGCGTGAAGGGGGTTTATGGGACACCTTTTTTCTTTGTGAATGGCATTCCATTATCGGATGGTGGCTCTCCGTTGGAATATAAGAAATGGAAAGACATCATCGATCCACTGCTGCGCTGAAGATTATGCTTTTGTTTTATTTTACGTAATGTTAAATTGTGTCATACTCTCCAAAAATCACGAATTGATCAACCTATATTGTAATGGTTATACGGTTATACCTGAATAAATGAATAATTCCTTTGATCTAAGTACTGGATTAATCAATTTCAGCTTGAAGCTGGGTTATCTTACTACACTACATAATATAATGTGATCTTAGTGATGGTTTTCACTTTGATGAAATTCTTTGATCTAATATAATGGATTACCGTTGCTTATGTTTATAACGATCTAGTCTAATTCTGGTAATAAAAAAACGATCTGGTCTAATTTGTATAAGTCCTGTTTAGTCTATATGAGTTCAAAACAGGTGAAATTAGAATATTATATTTATCGTCTTTGGGACATTGAGGAATTGATGCTCCACATATGTACAAATATGCTCTATATGTAATACGTAGTATGCCCCAACACATCTATATGACCATATATTCTCTATGACTGTATCCCTAATTCCCTATTGCTAGCATTCTTCCCGTATACAAAAGGATTAGGCTAAGGATCAAATAGTCCTCGAACTAACTTAAAAAGTGCAATCACCTCTTATATATAAGGTTGGCCGTCCCCAATTTAGGTGGTTCCCGGTGGAATTTTTTGATGAAATTTTTTAGCATCTTCTTCATTAAGTCTTGTTTACTCATACCAAATTTCAGCTAAAAATTCAATCGGGAAGGCAGTCAAATGATTTTTTGATGATAATTGTGCAGTTAAACAACGCAGTACATTTCGAAAAATCATTTGACTATCTTCCTGGTTGAATTTTTATCTAAAATTTGGTATGAGTAAACTAGACTTAATGAAGAAGATGCTAAAAGAATTTCATCAAAAATTCCACCGGGAACCGCCCCAATTGGCGACAGCCGTACAGAGCCTTATATATAAGGGGTGAATTGCACTTTTTAAGTAAGTTCAAGGTCTATTTGACCCTTTGCCAAATGATTATTAATCCCTGATTGCATTTCACAATTTGAGATTGGATTTGCATCAAATATGTGATCAATTCCTTCCCAATGTATAAAAATCAAATAAGTGATCATTTTTTTTAATTGGAGTGATTTTAATCTCGTACTACGTATTAATTTAGGCCTAATCAAATTAGACTATAAAAAAATCCGATTAAAAACATCCCGAAAAGCAAGAAATTACAATAAAGTGATAATCTTGGATTTACCAGGAGTAAAAAAATTGGGAAAACTTCACAACTAAGCTTAAGAATGAAAGTAATATCACTTTTTTCACTCATCAATTTTCTTTTCACAAACAGACCAACTTAAAATTCTTTTCAAAAATGGACCCTCCGGGCGAAACACCTACTGGAACATCTTCGTCTTGCAAATGTACGTAAGAGAACTGGTCCCTAGATAAACTAATCCTAAGTTCAGTAATTATTACTTGATGTTTGTCTTCAAACAGAAAAGAAAATCTGAAACGTTACTCCGTATCAATTGACCTCAAACATGCAAATAATTCAAAAAATAAATAAAGTCTTACCAAATTAAATTTAAGGAAGAAGAAATTTTACAATTCTTAGAATCCAAAAGAAGAAGGTGTAAAATTTATAAAAAATGAAAAAATGATTATAAATTTTAAAAAACTTACAAATAAAAAATATAAATGAATTTCATTTGTAAAAATTATTAAAAATATTAAAAAAAAAAATAAAAGTTAAAAACACGTAAAACTGAAAAAAATGTATAAACCTAGAATTAAAGTATAGAACTGAAAAAATGAAAAACGATAGTTAAATATATCCATTTTAAAATAATATAAATTTAATTAACTTAAAAAATTGTGAATATATTTTAAGAACATGAAAATCGTAAATTTGTATCAGAAGTACCAGTTGTGAATAAAAAGTTAAAAAATATAATTTAAAGTTTTTATGAAAGAATAAATGCTTATAACCGGAATCTGTAGTAAGAACATTAAATAATCAATTAAATATATAGAGTAAACTGAAAAAGAAAATATAACCTGTAAAATTCTAAAAATGTAGTACTCCGTAAGTCCGTATTAGATATTCTATGTGAACTACAAAGCATGTAAGATTTTAAGAACTCAATAAATAAAGCTGTTAAATACTCCGTATTAAATTATATTGAACATATAAAAAAAGAGTAAAATTTGAATGTATAATTTAGTATTTTCTGAACAGGTAAAATAATTACTTTTATTATGACCTTATAGAAGCTTATAGGCCTTTTTTATGACCTTATAGAAGTTTTTTGTTTCTTTTTGTTGACAACTTAGAGATTTTTGTTTCTTTTTGTTTCTTTATTGTTTCTTTGTGTTTCTTGTTGTTGGTATTGATAAATCTTCATTAATATTTTAGGTGTTTGTATATACATATCTAGTTTTGTATTGCAAAGAAGCAGCACATATAAAAGAACGTAACTATAAATGAACAACATAATTAAGAATTAAATGTAAACAACAACAAGCAACGCGATACAACAAAATGAAACATGATATAACATAAAAGCAACATAATGCAACAACAGGCAACTTGATGCAACAAAAAACAACACTTACGGTGCAACAAAGTGCAACAAAAACAACATAAAAATGTATCACTATAAAAATATATAATTCGATCTATTATTTCAATGTATTACATTTATCTATTATATTATTTGGTTTTGCATCTTATCAATCATTCTTCTTGTTATACATCTTGACAAACAATTCTTCATACTAAACTCTTTTATCTTCAGATTCCTTATTGATCTTTTCAAACTTATAATCATCTTCATGAAATTCTTTTTCTTTTCTGTGCCTGCAATGAGATCAAAACCACTATGACCCGAGTATAACAACAAAGTAGGCAAAATATAACTTATGCCCCAAAATATATCCTCAACAATATGACAGCAAAATCCACAACATAGTTTGAAGTACCTTTATAGTTTATACCTGCAATCTGCAATAAAATCTTTACCTGAAAAAAGGAAAAGTAATATGATTCAAGCACATGCATATATCACTCTGATCTCATATACACATAGAAAACCAAGATCACCACCTCAAAACTCAACATTCAAGCAATGGATAAACAATTATAATTTCATAATCCAAAGACTTCCTATTCAAAAGTTACCAGGCCTCCTTACTTGCCTTTGATTTACATATAAAAAATGGCAGTAGCTAAATTAATAAGCTAAGATACTAAATATCATAAATCTTTTCCAGAAAAAAGTAAAATTGAAAATATTTTCAAGCGCACATTCCATAGGAAACTCTTACGGCCATAAAATAAACTCAAACAGCCACCTAACACAAAAGCTCTCCTCTGCACCAGAACAAGGGAAATCCTTGGGACCATTAAAATCGGGCCCTACCTAAGCAACATGGTCTAAAAATACTGCTTAAGTAAACTTATGAAAAGGATAAATTTGTTTGTAAGCTTATTGGTTATGCAATTATCAAATATTTCAGATTTCATTGATACAATTATCAACAATAAAATCTTCACGAGGTTGGATTTTTAGCCAATTATTCATTTGAGCCACATAGGGTTTGGAGGATTGGCATGGAGAGACCGATCTTTAAAAAGATTTAGCACCTTAGTGAACTCCTCATCATCCTTTTAGCAAACTAAACTTCCTATGTAAAAGTTATTTTAGCTTTCAAAGATATAAATTTCACACTGTTAATTACTTAACTCTAACAATATCATCAGAAAGTGAAAAATTCTGAATTACTTAGAAAATAATAACCATGGTTAATGTTGTTCGAATCTAGTGGAGTTAACATCTTGTCCAACTGTATAATCAATCATAGGCCGACCACAAACTTTGAGTATAAATCAATATTAGATAAATCAAATGGAGGAAACAAAAAAAAAACAAATTGAAGCTTGAAATCATACAACCTACTTGTGCATAGTTCCAACACCGATAATAGATCTATCAAAGACGGGTGCTAAATTCTGAGACGCAAACTTGTCTATTCTGTTGGGATGGCAGGACAATTTTTGTGTCATCCATTTCATACTTCTACAATCTACTAGATTCTCACCCGTGCGATGCACGGGGCAAAAATAAAGTAATAGATATAGGTTCTTATTTGTTTGTAAAGATTAAATTATTAATTCACGTATAATAAAGGATGAAAATAGTAAAGGTGTAATACATATAATAAATTTTTATTTAAGAAATGATAGTTATGACTCATGCATTGGTAGTGAGTATGTTTTGGAATAAACAGAAATAAACAAATGTAGGTTACAATAAGATTTCTACATTCTACACATTTCGAAACACTTCCTTGTAAACAACATTGATAGTATGATCAGTGTGTTCTCCATCGACACCATACATCTATATTTCAAACCCTTAAGATTTGTTATTCTTGATACTGCAGCATATAATTGACCATGAGTAAACACTAACTTTTATATTAAGAGGCCAAGGTGTGACAAAAATTGACCTTGATTCTTATTTATTTCATCGCATAAGAGGTCATTTCAATAAATTAGTTTAAATATCTACTTTACCCTCATAATAAATATATTTAATTTTAAATTCTAGTGGTCATGAACTTAGACTTGTAAATTTAGCAAAATTCAAATACAATAATTTAATCTAAAAAATCATTGTCGGAAACAACCTCTAAATATTTTCAAATTCTTATATACCACATAGTTGTAATCAACGTCAATAATTATAACAATTAATAGCAATAATAACATTTCTAATTTATAAACTCAGAAATTTTATCATTATAATGTAATTATCATATATAACATAAAAAAGCAATATCCATCCATTTAATTGAATCATCCCATTATAGTATATATAGTATATATCTATCAAAATTATTTTTGAAAGTATGATCGAATAATCTAATTTAATTATTGTTTAAATAATCGCGGTGTTTTATAATAAAAAAATTTAAGAAGGATGGAAGTACTGAAGTAGCAATGGCATAACCCTATATATATATTTTTTTTTACAATGGCATAAAATCATAATTTGAATGTATTAAAAAACAATACGGACTATTATTAACTAACTTAGTAAAATTACAACTGCTTGACAACCACCAATTTCTACAGGCCAATTCTAACCACTTTTACATGGCCCAATTAAACCCAACCCAACCCAACATCTTAAATTAAAACTTATGAAACAA